TAATCCTGAGGTTTTCCTCTAGTCGTATCAATTTCGTTACATTCTCGCGACACGAGCTCACGGAAATACTCTCGCGAATCATATTTCATCGCCTCGCAAATGCTAAGGAATTCGGTAGCTTGTAGCGTGGACACTTCGATACAACAGAATACGCATTCTTATCAATTACTATTATAAATTGACTTTATTGGCTATGACACAGAGGACCGAATAAACATGCAAATCTTACGTTACAGACGCTTGAGATGACATAATATGCGACAATACTACGGCACGGAACTTCGACGCAACATATAATCCGCGATAAAAAGAAAACGACAACGAGTGACGAGGCTGTGGCCTTGGCGGACGCATTCGAATTATCCCGACGATAAGGGCCGTTCCGGGAGGCGACACGCATACGCGAATCCCGAAACTCTGGTGCACGGTAATGCCACGTGCACTCACTACTATACGCCCGATAGAAATCCGATACGTTGCCTCCCGGACGCGGAAACCGGCGACTTTACAGGGATGACGCTTGTCTCACCGTGACTCCCTCGCAGGTGCTCGTCCTAATCGACCTTGGAAGGCTCGTAATCCGCTGTCGTCTTGCGTCCTCTCGCGTGCTCTATCCAAGCGGGCCACAGCTCAAGTGCCGGGCACTAATCCCTCCGGGGGCACGCAGCCAAGCGGGCCACAGCTCAAGTGTCGGGCGCTAATCCTCCTGGGCGCACGCAGGGCTCGTTATCCCCGCATCATGCCCGTCGCATGTCCTGGCGCGCGAAATTTGAGAGATCGCGGGAGTCTTTTTCAGGCCGCCTCGTGGTCTCGAGGCGCCAATCCGGGGCTCTCGCCATCTTTGGGGCGTAGAGTGACTTTCCCCGACATGTATCGGGTCTCGATCCGCTTTGCGCCTGTAAGAAGGTGCGATAAAGAACGCTTTGCGATAATCAAAAGGGCGTATGACAATGAAGGAAGGATATCACCTGCGTGCAACCCGAGGTCAGGTGTCGTGCGCCCCCGGCGGGTCCGTCATCAGCGGTCGTCTCCCGTCTCCCAATCTTGGTCGTTCTTCCTCCTCTTCTCTCCTGTGAGGTGGCGTCACTCCGCCAAGGCCGCGGGTCGCCGGCCTCTGTAACCCTCGGTACGGGAATACACTGAAACGGGAAAACGAAACGACAGCGCGGAACGCATAAGGTACGTAAACGACGACGCGGGAAAAGCACAGATGCGTCCGCCCCCAAAATGTGAGAGGACCCAGGACGCTATACTGCACTGTTCGGTCAGGCGGCCCTTGTGACGGACGGAAAACATCACGTCACAGTGTTTATGACATCATAGATGTATATAAACAAGTTTAAAAAGTTACGTAACAATGCAAACGTTTTTGAGTGTGACGTTTTAACACAAATGTAATATAACTAATACTCTGTGTTGATTAGGATGCTAATGTTTTTAATTTTTTTATACAATACATCTAGTTGACATTAAATTCAACCGTCGTATGTAATTATATAAACGTGTTCATTTCTATGAGAAGATGCTTCGTACAATAATGTTACAACGCCAAAAGTCATATCACGAAAAGTGTAGAACAAGAATTTCCAGATTCTGTTTTACAGCAAAAAATAACGATGAATCTCAAGTACATCCTTTGAACAGATAGAAATTTGTCGTGACATTGTGTGTTATTATTGTGTGTTATATTACAATATACGACGGTTGAATTTAATTAGATGTAACTCTGCGTCTTAAGAATATTATGAATTTACTGAAGATGACAAGATTGTGGCCGAAACGTTTAATGTTTTAATTTATGTAATAATAATTAAATATCACAAACTATAAGTTGTGCTGTGGTTTCTTATGCTCTTCTTTTTATACTTTTTAAATTTATAACCACGTTTGTTTTGACGATGTATAAAAATAAATTTATTAATGATATACAACATGCTTTATCATTGACGTGCGACGGATGATAAAAGTTATTTAGGTATAACAATACATTATTTAATAAGTGAAATAATATTTGCGAAAGGTAGTCATATATTAATCATATGGTGGTAATCATATATTATTAACCACGCTTAATGATTTTAAAATTGATCAATCCAAAATTACAACTATTGTTACTGATAGTGCTTCTAACATGATTAATGCAGTAAATTGTACGTTCAATAATAAGCATATTCTATGTATGGCACATGTTTTAGCACATTTAGTTCCAGATAGCCAAAAAAAAAACAGTA